GCCGTGTTGGTCACCAGCACCTTCAGGCTCTTCGGGCCAGCGCAGCCACCCAAGGCAGAGAGTGTGTGTCTTTTCCCAAGTCGCAGGCCCGAAGCTCATTGGTCAGCTCAGGGCACGTGCTCTGTTTCTGTCAGTTGCCATGGCTGGAGCCAGCCAACCTCCCCCGCCACCCCATCTCTGACTGAGGATCTCTGCAGCAGCCCCGTCCCCATGCTTCTCCTCTTCCTCCGGGCTTTTTGCATCCCTCCTAGCTCATGTCCCTTCTGAGCGCTGGCCCCCAGCAAGGCCGAGTGAGGGAGTGGGTGTCTGCTGCAGCCCCATTGGCTCCTGGCTGCATTTGGCCTGGCATTGGAGACCCACTGTCCCTCTGCGAGCTCTGGTGGCCTCTCCGAGGGCAGGGACCACCCCGGCACCATAGAGGCAGGACTGGGCTGCTCAGAGCAGGCACCGGCGGGCAGCCTCGAGGTGAACACGGCGGGCGGCAGCGAGGGAGATAAGGCATCGCGAGGAAATGTGTTCCTCTGCACTGACATCCTTTCTTCTAGGAAAGCTCTTGCTTCAGCTTGCTCACCTAAACCACACGGCAGCCAGGGGCGGATGCTGGTGAGAGGTCGCCCGGCCTGGAGGGGTTTCCGCTGCCAGCTCGCGGGGTGACCCCAGCCTATTCCCCCTGCCCCTCCTCTGCACACTGTTTTTTGCTTGAAAGTAGTCCTATCCCCACAACTGCTCATTTTTGATCATAAGAGCTTAATTGGGGGTGAGGGTGGGGACATTTCCTTGTATTGCTGTTTCTGGAGTGGCCGTTAGGGGTGGTCAGTGTCTGTCTGACCCCCATATGACATGTGAAACTTGAGACTTGTCTCCTGTGGCCTCGTTTTCCTGATCTGTTGAGTGAGAATAGAATCAGCACTGACCTCACTGAGGTGGCTGTAGGAGAAACGACTTAATCGACTAAGATTCTTTAGAACTGTGGCACACAGTAGGTGCTTTAATACATATCAGGCAAGGCTGCTGCCGCCCTCCCGGCTAGTGTTATTACTGATTGCTAATCAGGGCTGTTTGGGGAGTCCTGGGTGTAGCGGCTATGCATTGGGGTGCGATACGCAAGGTCTGCAGTTAGAGATCACCAGCTGCACCCTGGGAGAAAGATAGGGCTTTCTACCCTCTTAAGGAGCTAGTCTCAGAAACCCACCAGTGCAGTTCTACCCGGTCCGACAGGGTTGTTACGTGTCGGCCGGGACCCACCGGCAGTGCGTTTGGTGTTTGGTGGGTTTGTGGGCATCCACTTCCGCTTGCTCGGCTTCTCATCTCACCTTTGGAGGTGTTGTTGTGACTTTGATCCCATAGAGATACCGCATGTTCCCACAAAGAGTGTGCTGTATAAACACCCCCCCACACACACTGACACTCCGAAGCGCGTTGGCATTAGCAGAAGCGATCTGAGGCGTGTGTGTGCAGTGTGTGTTAAAACACAACCGCTGTTAACAGCACACGCTGCTTGTGGCAGCTCTGTGTCACGCGTTCAGCTCAACTCCGGCTTGCTTTCAAGGGGACTCCTGAGCGAGTTGCTCATGCCTCTCGGGATGGGCGCTGGCTCCCCTTCGGGCCAGCCCCCACTTGCGGGGGTGGGGTACTCCTGTTGCTGTCTGGGTGGCTGCCTCCTGCAGCAGTACACATTGGGGCTTTGGGGATCTCCAGACCCAACGGGCTGCTGCTTTGATGTGCATTCCTCCCAGGATGCTTAGCAGGCAGCTCTTGGTTCTGCCCACTGTGGCTTTTCTCTGGACTGAGCCCTGTAGGTTTGTGGAGCTGTTTCCTTTGGATGTGGATCCCAGCTTTCCCAACCCTGTTGTCTGTCTCCTTTGAGCCCGACTTGTTCCTGACTTAGCAAGATAGCAAGTTCAGCCCTGACTCACATGGCGGGGGGCTGTGGGGCTCTTTGCTGCCCTGCCCTTGCTGGTTCAACCTCTGGTGATGCCCCTCCCACTAGCATAGATGACACCCACGGTTCATGACCTGAACGTTCTGTGCCTCAGTTTTAGCATCTGTCAAATGGGGCGATTGCCCTACCTCCCTTACAGGGTTGGCGTGAAGACTGAGCGAACGTGACAGAGATCTAACCAAAATAAACTAAAACCACTAATTCTGACCCACAGTGACTTTAGATACGGTTTCTGAGATTAAATCTTGATGGGAACAGGCAGCCTCATCTTTCTCTTGCAGAGTGGCTAGTGGTTTTGAACCACTGACCTTGTGGTTAAGCAGACCAACCCTTATCTCACAGCACCACCAGGCTCCTTTGACAGAGGGCTAGTGCGCATGGAATCCTGGTGAGCGTGGGTAGTC